AAAATAAAGCTCGAAGCTCATCAATCAGTGCGCGATTCTGAAACTTTCTGATTGTTCGAAAACCCGGGGTGACCTCTAAAAGGGTGTCTCATCGTTTTGAGAAGACAGCTCACTTCACTCTCTCTATGTTATCTCTGAATTATTAGCTTGACTAGAACTCGCTGGCAAAGCGAAAACGTTTTCAATCTTCTTCATTTCTCTCCCAATGCTAGACCTGGAGAGGAACAGCATATGCGCCAGAGATCCCAGTAATATCTGATCTGCCTCTTGTTGGGAATTCAGGAAGCTATGACTCAAAGAATTCACTGGCTCTGAAGCCATCATGAGCTTTACTTTCAATTTTTCCCGTATGCGACTGGAGCAGCAAATAAACAGAGCTCGCACTAGCACTTACATTGGGGAAGATTATGTCAGAGCAGCAGGACGCCTGGTGAGCCCTGTGATTATTGACGGAGCCCCTGAAGATGTCCAGAGCAATTTGACACGCACTGGAATGCATAGGTGCACCTTTCATCATCCCGGAAGTTCCCCTCAAATTGGCGCTGGTTGTTTGCTGGAGTTAACTGAAGTGAATGGAGAATCCATCACAGAGCACCCAGTCTGAAATCAGGTCCTTAAGGTTTGGGTGAAAAAGCGAAGTACCACGTACCCTGTTCAGAAGTAGTTGAAATGCTCCTGTTTTTGAGCATAGCAGAATGTACAAAAAAAATGCGTGCAGGTCTTCTCTAGCGTCGACTACTTCTTTAGAAAGCAACCACGCTTGCTGCATATTCCTCTCTGCTTATTCAGAATATTTACATCTTGTACTTTTTGCTGGCAAATTTGACAGCCGACCTAGACGGAAACCCTGATATAGACCAGACCTACACCATTCCAAGGCAAACTGTACAGTGACGTTCGAGAACAGATGGAAATGGCCGTCTACAGCTGCAGTAGCATGTCACTTTTCATTTAAATGTGAACGGGAACCGAGCTGGTGTGTAGCGACAACCACGTGATGTCTCCAACTCCATGCTGCGCTATCCCTTATATCCATTCGCGTACCCAGGCGCGTTTTCGAAAACGGCTCGTTTGGACGGGGGTGCGGAGCATTTGCCGAGCTCTCGGCAAGTGTCCGCCACCAGGGGTGGACACGGTCCCTCGTGACCCTTTACTAAAAATTTTAGCACTGTTCAACTTTCTGCTCCCGAACTCTCCTCTTTCACTGAACCATAGAGTGCAGGGGTTACTCATCAGGCCACAAAAATGACATTCGTCTGTCCTCCGGTGCCATTTGACGCCAATGTGCGCTAATTTAGTGCTATATTTTTCCTCAAAAATGAGCCGAGCGGAAGTGGGCAATACTCAACATCCCTGAGATGGCGGGTAGACGTGGCCCGCATGTATCAACTTAACCTGGAGGTGTTTATGCTGGTGTGGGAACAATTCATCTTAACACAATTGCTGTTGTTGTTTCTGTATAACAGAGAACAAGATGACTTGTTGTCGCCAAACCCGACAACATGGAATTCCACCGAGTAAGCCAATCCTGTGCCTTCAAATGCCACGCCTACTCTGGCTCAGGGATAAGGAGTGTACTTGTGTTCAAAAGGTCAAACAAACTCAGGAAACGACTGCTAAGCCAAGTCTGTCCATATAGAAAGAAAATTGGTCGAAAGTAGGCTTCGTTCTAGATGTCTGAGGCAGTAAAGGGTTGACAGTGCCTATAGTTTTTTCAGCGCTACTCAGCGCTAGAATCCACCTGCACTCGCCGTCGCCTTTTTTTCGCTAAAGTCGCAGCTGTTCTGCATTTGAGCTCAATTGCGGGGTGAAGCCCCATCACAAACAAGACATTGGTTTTTATCTCGCGCAGAGCGTTACATGGCATGAGCGCTCTGAAAAGGCTGTAGCTTTGGGGAGGAGTGATTTCCTCCCTTCTAAGGCAAGCTCAACCTCACCGTCGCATTTGACACCCACCCCTTCGTGCCCTACGCTAACGTTCTTGCTAAAAATGAATGTCATATCAATAATAAGAACAGCGAATAATTCTAGTATCCAAGTTGACATCAATTTGGGTGGAAGAGGCGATAGCATCAAATTGGCGCCCATTGGCACCAGTTGGCGCTGGGATCTGTAGTGAACGTCATATTTGTGACCAGACAACAAAAAGCCCTAGTATGTAACTTTTCCTAAGTTTGGTGAAAAAAGGTTGTGGTGAGCTGGCTGGTGAGCGCTTGTGGCTTCGATGAAAAAAGTGGTGGCGCCAAATTGGCACCTAATGGTGCCAAATGGCGTCAAACGCCGCCGGCGCCAGAAAGGGACGTCATATTCGTGATCGGAGCACTGTAACCCCTATGGGCCATTTTTCAGGAAGAAATTTTCCAGAGGTTCTGGGCTCAGGTGCTGTTAGTTAAAGCGTGCCTGGGACCCTTATATCTGAGGATCTCGTTGGTCCACTAGTTGCATGAATCAACAAAGGTTTAAAGACTCGTACCACTGGAAAAAATCCTCGAAGATCACGAACTGTTTCTAAAAATTTCCATCAAAAGCCCGTCCGCCACATATGGTGGACATGGTCCGAAGTGGACATTTCGGTGTCCACCACCAGTGGCGGACATTGTCACGAATGGGTTAACACGTTGACGACATCCTGAGCCACCGTGGCTCATGACTTTCTCCATCATCTTTTGGGTTATTGCCGGCAGTTCCAATCGATCTTTTTCTTGCTTTCGAGTAACCTGTGGATGGTGAGTTTTGAACAAAGATGAGCAAGGAAAATGTTGCTGCCCCCATGAGATATTTTTTAATTAGAAATTGAAATTTTTTTTAAGTAGGCTCTGCGTGGCGGCTGAAACCATCCAAAATAGTTTTATTTGGACAAAATCGTTGGGCTGCAGGGGACTGCGCTGTGTTTGATCATGAACGAAGATCTTTGTCATTGGCGCCAGCGATCTTTTTGACACCGAATTGGATAGAAACCTCTACACCTAACTTATTCGACATCCTTGTCGCGAATGTATCGTTGTCTTCCAAAGTTGGTGCCACCTGGCGCCAGCGGGAGCCACTTTGGCGCCAGCGACCTTCTTGGCACCGAATTGGGTACAAACTCGAACACCTGGGTTACTTGGCACCATGATCACGAACGTATCATTCTTTCTCAGTATTAACGCCGTTTGGTGATCTTGAGATGGTGAACAAGTGATAAAATATGGATAGTGGAAATAAAATATGGATAAATAGTGATAATAAAATATTGCTAGAAATCGCGAAAATCGATCTAAAGTGGGCGGAGCTAAGTGTGCGGAGCCTTATGCATCTTTGTGCAATTGCTTGTCTGTGAGCAATATGTGAAGAGTGTGTTTGAAAGCGTCAACGTTGAGATAAGGTATGAAAATTAAATATAAAACAAACCTGTTAAAAAGTGGGCGTGGCCGGTAGGTGTCGGTGTGGCCATCTATGAATCATTGTAATGTGTGAAAAGCAGAAAATTCCAAGAAAATTCTTAGAAACGGAAGTTATGGAACACATTTTGGAAATCACGATCGCGCTAAAAAGTGGGCGTGATCGCAGAGGGCGGGGCATGAGATGGCATCCAATAGGGTCAAAGATGGTTGAAATAGCAGTCCCTACACGATTGACTTATCATTTTGCGAAATTTGACATAGCGGCAAAAAAGTGGTCCACGAGGGACAACATGAGCCACCGGTGGCTCAGGGCGGACGCATGCGAAAGCACGCCATTGTCCCACGTGGCGCTTTCCCGCAAAACGCGATTGTCGTCAACGTGTTAAGGAGCTGTGTTGCGTCAATACCAAACTCCCGAAGCGAGCACATAGTATTAGGTGGAGGACAACTAGAAGTGAGAGGGCGCAGACAAGTAGCGCGTTTGGCTATGATTAGGCGTTTGTCTAACCGCCGTGAGGCAGAGGTGATTCGACCGTTTGTTCTTCGATACAAGTTCAAATCTTTATCTCTTCAGACTAATCACTTGGCAGCTACCTGCTGTAAGGAGGTGTTGCTCGAAAATGAAAAAAGGAAATTGTAAATGCAATTGAGCATGAAATAGTAGCACCTGTTTTTACCAAGCTTGACCGACCTGCGAAGACCATTAGCCATAAAAGCTTCAGTAACATGTAATTCCGCAAGATTTCTTGCCAAACCTCAACCAGGATCATCTCAATAACTCTTCCTTTGTATTCGGATTACTGATTAATTCACTTGAAGAAGAAAACGACCCGAGATGAACGCTGAGGGCCAATAATCGTCACGTTAAAGCCGAGCAAAAGTGAAGTTGGGACCAACATTTGTATTTTTTCTCCTGGATGCGGCACTACGCTAAAAGTAGACCCGTATTTTGAAGAAGAATCCAACTGAATGCAGATCGCTGAGGAAAATCACTTGACCCCGCGCGTCTCGACAAGTGCCACGCGCTCTTGCACTATGAAAAAACATTAATTTTTTGGAATCAGAACCTGTGCGAATACGAATTTTTCCAAGGATGTTCTAAGAGGAAGGAGTGACTTGAATTAGAGTTCACAACGCAGGGGATTTCCGCCCTTTCCGAGACAGAGAAAATGATTAGAGGAAAACATCATAGCTTTCAGATCTGAACTCACTGAGCTACAGGGGAACAACCGTACGAACGCCGATCGTTCGTCCTTCCTCTTTACCGCTTTGGAACTAGGGACTACAAGAAGAAAAGCAGTATCTCGGAAATTTGCTCTTAGGGCGGGAGGACGAGAAGTAGAAACCGGTGTGAGCGGGATTGCATGACGTGAGCGGTAGCAGGCATGTGAAGCCTTGCTGAGAAGCTTGAAGAACGTAAGGCGCCGCATAGCCTCTTCTCGGGGCAGAGTATCCTTTACCATCAGGTATATTCATCTTATATTCGTGGTCGAGTTGCCTTTTCTACTGCCTTTGAATTAAAACCCGTTGATAATGACTATTTACACACATGCAACATATCTTGAGTTCACGATAAACCTATCGCTTCTATCCGATAACTAACGCAAACACTTAATATTAGATATTTATATCAGCAAACGTCTCATGGATTTTTGCTCTCATAGCATTCTCATTGAGAATAAAGTCCGTGGCGAGTTCAATGTAACCGTCTCGAGTTTTCAGTTGTGGCTCGACGAATGTTATTGAGTCCTGAAATGTCAGTTTGAATCACAATATGTTACCTTCTTAAACCAAAAACTGAAATAAGAAAGGACTTGAGGTACCTTGAGAGGGAAAGGTATGCCTTTCTTGAGAGCCTGACTAAGTTGCGGCCCGATGAATGTTTTTGCTAATGGTGCAAGTTGTTCGATTGATGAAGGATCTATGCCAGCCAGAGAGGTGCGGTGAAGTCGTACCGACAGCCTTGAAAATATCCGTAAAAACAAAACATGGAAACATATGTAAATTCAATGCGCTTTCTGAGCATGCACATCCCAGTCCTATTTGCTTGTGAGTGCGCCATGCGTCGAGTTTCATCGAAAGTTTTCTAGTCATTAGAAACATCACGGACATAAATTGATTCAGTTCAGGTTGGATTCGTCAAGTAAGCGGCAGAGAAAAGTATGGCATATCTGGCCGCAGAGCCGCCTAAAAACACATCGCGGAAATTGGACGGACGGAGTTCGTTGAACTCTATGCCTTCCTTATTTATGCCTCCCCCATTCAGACAGTGTAAGGCGAGGCGTGCGAATGAGCTGCCGAATTTTGCCCATCCAATCATAGCGGAACGGGTCCCGGAAATGCATCAAATGACGGAACATAATGAACCCTGTTCGAGCACAGACTTTTGCGCTGTGCTCCGTGTACGAACGACCCGAAAACTTCGAATGGATTCAGCCTAACCGTGTTTTGTAGGATAGCTGAAACCCCGACAACGGAATATTGAAAGTGAAAGCGCCACAATGATCGTTAGCATCTGCGGCACGTAAGAAATTCCTTTTCATGCCGAAACGTATGGAATATTCTCTTCTAATGGGGCAAACTATCCCGCGAGGTAAATTCCAGCCAACTTTGCATAAGTGGACAAATTTCGGTCGAAACCGAAGTACTTTCTCGAGTCTGTGAAGGAGAATTTGATCAGTTTATCAGCAATAAGGTAGGGGTTCATCAGCTTGAAAGCAGGAAGAGAAACTTGCTATCACGACGTCTCGCCCTCTCTGTGACCCTTAGAGTTCCATTACTGTTTGTGAGCTGTGGGGTTTAAATACGAATCTGTAGATGCTGGTGGACTTCCCCAGCGAACGTGGTAAGTCTTAGTGAAGAAAAAAGTGAACAACACGTCTGAGATCCTCTTACTAAGGGCTCGACATCGGACTATATTAGGTTGTCCGGAAAGTTCTCAGCGTTTTGTGCACCTATTTTTTGTACATTCACTGCTGATTAAAAACTCATTCTGCCTTGCGTCTCAGTAGTACATCCTGAAGAGAATTTCTTGCGCTATCTGAGGTATAATTGCCGTTTCACCATTGCTTGATAAACCCCCTTTTCCCAAGACTTTTTGAAGCATGTCAAAAGAGCAACTTCGGACGATATTTTTCTTCAACTACAAATTGGGTCAATCCGCAGTCGAGACAGCTCATTAACCAGGTGTGGGGGCCCAATAGTGTTGGAGAAAGCACCGTGCGACAATGGTTCGACAAATTTCGTTCTGGAGATTTCAGCCTTGAAGATGAACCTCGTAGCGGTCGACCTAAAGCAATACCTGACGAGGATTTGAAGGCGTTTGTGGAGGCTGACCCATCCCAAACAGTTCGAGAGATTGCAGAAAAGCTAGTTGGCAAATCCACTGTTGCGGATGGTCTGAAACGCATTGGGAAGGTGAAAAAACTCGACAAGTGGGTGCCCCACAATTTGAGTGACCGGCAGAAATTGGCACGTCTCGAGGTTCCTTCTTCACTGCTTTTGCGCAACAGAAACGACCCGTTTTTGGACCGAATTGTCACCTGTGATGAAAAGTGGATCATGTATGATAACAGGAGACGTTCCGGACAGTGGTTGGATGCCGACGAACCACCGAGGCAATTTCCAAAGCCGAATCCTCACGAAAAAAGATTATGGTCACAGTGTGGTGGTCATCGGCTGGTGTGATCCACTATAACTTTTTGTCACCAGGCCAAACCATCACAGCAGAGTCCTACTGTGAAGAAATCGACGAAATGTACCGAAAATTGCGTCAGCTGCAGCCAGCACTTGTCAACAGAAAGGGTCCGATTCTTTTGCATGACAACGCCCGCGTTTCACAAATCACTATCCATAAATTGAACGAATTGGGGGTTGAAGTTCTACCTCACCCGCCATATTCTCCAGACCTTTCACCAACCGACTATCAAACATTTTCAGAACTTCCTTGCTGGAAAATACTTCATCAATCAGGACCAGGCAAAAAAGCCTTCGTGGATTCTCGACCACCCAGTTTTTTCTCGAATTGGGGGTTGAAGTTCTACCAAACATTTTCAGAACTTCCTTGCTGGAAAATACTTCATCAATCAGGACCAGGCAAAAAAGCCTTCGTGGATTCTCGACCACCCAGTTTTTTCTTTGATGGGATTTATCGACTGGTGTCACATTGGCAAAAGTGTGCTGATTCGAACGGTGCTTATTTCGATTAAATCCGATGAGTATTAAGAAAGTTATGATCGTTTAAAGTGAAACACTCAAAACGCTGAGAACTTTCCGGACAACCTAATACTTCAAAAACGAGACCCTGCCGCGCTGATGTAAGAACACGGGCGAAGAATGAGCGTACAAAGACGTGCTAGTAGTTAACGGCAAGGCCCATCTCACTTAGAATGAACTTGTTACACTAATTAACAGACTCCATGCACCGGAAAGGACTTCCACATCTTAGGTAGTCGCGGTGTGTCTTATTATAGGCCCTATCGAGGTTAAATGAGGATGTAGCGACAAGACGCGCTCACGCGCGGTTCCGGTTTCACCCGGGTCGCCTCCCGCTATTGCCAACCAAGCCTAGCCTCCGGGGACGGTGAATTGGTACCAGATTCGTCTGGGAGGATAAACACTGACTTGTACATCGGCTGGCCACCGCAAGTCATTGTATAGGCCACATCGCATTCAATAATTCAATAAGCCACTACGATTCTGAATGGAAGTAGAATGCGTGCCGCATCCCACAAAGGGATTGATCAACGGCGAAGACTTTATCCTTTATCCTTTTTCTATCGACGTTAAATATGCTGAGAATATAAATCTTACAGTAGCCGAGTCTATAAGCGGAATCTCTACGATCTCTCACCGATTCAATTTCAAATCTCCTCCAAGGCGTCCGTTGTGTGCAGCAAGTAGAACGTCAGCTTGTCCCTCCGCCGACGACACCATTATCTGCTTCTCCTGCCCATGGTCGTCGACGTATGTAATGATGCGAGCTGTAAAAGTGCAAAATTCTGAATTGCAGGGATTGCGCATTGTCCTGCTGACTAACACATTTGAAGAATTCAGTAAAACATTGTAATCAAAAAAAACCACTGTATAAACTATTCCAAGGTAGTGTTTGGTACCCTGGCAAGTGGCCGGGGTCAAATTCCCGTTCCGGCTCCGGCCTAGGCTACTGGGGACGTTAAACTGGTTATAGATTCGTCTGTGAGGATGAGAACACTGAGTTGTAGATTGCCTGACCTCCGCGATTCATATCACAGACACGGTGCATTCCATGAGCTGCTACTATGTTGGTGGAAGTGGAAAGTGTGCCCCATCCTTTAAAGTGATCTACATACACCTTACACCATAGTACTTTGTCTTCAATGGGATTATTCTTACAGATGTTTCACCGCAGCCTGCGGTGCTCTTTAACTCTCCGTTCTCCCGACGCTTACAATTCACGTGCCACACTGATCATATGGACAGAGGCAATTAATTTTTTTGCCTTCTGCACAGCTAACAAGGAGCAGAACAGCATCGCTCTAATGGGTGAAAGGTGGGCCTAGCTCCAACCACATGGCTGACGTGGGCTGTGCCTTTACTCGCTGCAGACCGTGTGTTGACTCACTCCAATGACTAAAGAAGGGAAGTTGTTTAGCTAGGGGTTTTTAGGTTAAAGGTTTCAGTATACGGTATCGGAAGTATCAAATTATGTAATATCAGAGCTGGCACAGCTATTGGTAGGTTCTCAGTCACTGGTATAAGAAAAATAAAAAAAGGTAGAAATAAAAATGAGAAAGTTCCAGAATGGTTCAAAAAGCGTACAGAAGAAGACACCTACTTGATAATTTAATGGCGCCAGCATCTCCGTTGAACTGGAAATCAGGAAGGCCGTGCGGCAACAATACAAAAGATGTCGTCGTGTTGGGATATGCCTGAAAATTCGAGCAAACTATGCTATCGATTCTCATTCGTTCACTGAATAGTAATCAGTAACTATTTTTGAACAGCGATATTTTTGATCGTAACGAAAGGCACTCGGAGGAGTTCCCCTCCAGTGTGATCAAGTACTGTCGTTTAGGCTTTGCCCTCTCTTCGACACAATGTAACACGTTCTAACATGGTTTAGTCCAGACCATGGCATGTCCTCAGCCGATGGCACCCTCCCACCTAGCCACTATGACCTGGCCGTTAGCTCCAGCCGTGACATGACTAAACCTCGTAGTGAACTGATCCCTCCCCGAATTACGCTGGGCCAGCGAAAAATCCAAAAAGGACGTTTAGTATTGGTTAACTTCAGCATCCA